ATTGGTGATAGAAACCTGAGCGTGTGCAAAAGAACTGAACACTTCTTTATCAGCAGGGCACATGTTGTGGTCAATATCATCAAAAAGTAAGGCAAAGGACTTGCAGCCAAAGTGTGAAACCTGAAAGGGAAGAAATGACATAGTAAAATACAGAAAACTGCTGTAGATATCCATCAAGAAGGATTTCAATGTGTTCTTCATAAAAATGCTGCAATACCTGATCAAGTTTCCTCTTGAGTGCAGAAACCTCTTTTTGGTTGGAGAAGGTAATATCTAATCCAGGGGAAATGGCATAGATGAACTCTATCCCATGCTCATTAGCAGCACCGATTAAAGTCATGAGTTGCTCTAGGAGACAGGAGAAAGACAAAAGTGTAAATTATTGTGCATTTATAATTAATATGCAATTGGCTCACTTTAAAAGTATCATACAATCATTCCCCCGTCTCCCCAACGACATTCTTGGTAATCACCTGCTTCCTCCACTGAATACAGCTCCCTCCAGAACATTCTGTGTTTGCAGTCATCTTTGGGTGCGTAAAGGTATGTATTCAGTCCCCATTTCTGCTGCCTGTGAAAATCATTTTTTCAGACTCATTAAAACAATCCGAGTTACCCTGCTATAATGCTGTCAACATGCAGTCTTAAATGATCCACAGTACCTCCTGAACAGCTCTTTCCTCTGTTCCATTGTCCATGGCCGCCCATAAAAGCCTGCGTTAGAAAACACGACATTCAGTTTCCACGCACCCTGCAGTCCTAATGTGCGTTTCCTCGCTTCAACAGTTTGCCCCTTGGTGCCGACGTGCTTGAATCTGCTTAATACTGATCTTCTGAATTACTCAGGAATGTGCCCAAATAAAGACGTCCCTTTTAAATTCATGAAGTGTAGCACTGTGTTCATTATGTACAGACAGACAGCGGAATTACTGCAGCATTTCGACGCCTAGCTTCTGATTGTATGCGATTAACTAGATCGTGTTGTATATACACGTAAGCCTATGAAATTTTAAAGGGTAATTTTTTTTATTAACCAGCATATTTGCATTTTAAGATACAAATTTATTATTTATTTATATATGTGACGATACCAAACTACATACATAATCTTTCTCCAACATTACCTTCCACGACTCCGCTTATAAATTTTCTGAGGCCCGTCGTTTCGACTCCGATCACAGTCTCTTCCACCGGGCCAGGGGCCTCTGCACAAGGCTCTCCGGAGACTGGGCTGGGGCTCGGCTCACCATCCACTTGAGGAGTCTCTAACGTATTTTCTTTTTGAACCATTTTCGACGTTTCGCTCGATACAAAAGTCACGAAATTTGCGACGAACCCAGGGAATATTTTCAAATGTAGGTCAGCAGGCGAATGCTGCCAGGCAAACCTGGTGGAAATAAACCGCGTCACTCTGAGCCTAATGTTAGCTAACGCAAGGAATCTATCGAGTTTTTCGAAACAAAGACCCCGACTGGTTTTACAAGCTGTGATATAAATTACTATCAGGTGATACAAATAATCATTTAGTTTGGCTAATATGTAAACAAAAACCAAACACTCGCTCGTGGCTGTCCGTGCATTTTCTCTTCTTTATGGGTGGATTTGACCTACTTTACGTCGTTTCTTCCTGTTTACACCAAGTGCGCATGCTCACGAAACCAGTTCAAACCAGTCACAACTAGATGTACGTGACAAAACACCGCAAAGATTTTACACAGTTAAAGATATAGCCTACACCTCAGTTCACGGCATGATAGGATTAGCCTCCTTTGTAACCAGTTGTGGGCAAAATGTACATCAAAATTATAACGACATCCGTTTTTTTACTCAATACACTTAATAGTAGTCAGATATGTAGCAATAATGAAGCTAAATAACAGATTGGTTTATGCGTGATTACCCACAACATCATCAATCTCTCTCATTTATCAATGAGCGGGGATACAAAGTGTGCACGTATTTATCAAATACACAAGAGGGTGGCAATTATTCGCTCTGTTGGTCGACTGCGTTGAACATCTCACCGGCTGTGTAATATCTTTAAATTCCAGCCCATATTAGGAATGCAGCTAAGCTCCAACACCACTTTCAAACAGAGGGGAGGTGCTGCTCATCTGTTTATGATCTGTGTCAGCAAAATGCGCATGCTTTGTTCCAAATCGTCAAGATAATCCAGTTATACTTTTCCACAGTACACAGCGTGCTTTACTACAATGACTACAAAACAGGGTTGCGAGTTTTCACAATATCCAGGGGGTGAGTCCAAAGATTAGGTCAACTAGTCAGGACAAAAAAATAAATTCAATGGCCCTGAATAGATTTGTACATGTTTTTTACACAGTCATTGATGCTAGCCAAGAAAAGTTAATGAAAGAATTGCATAAAGAGTAAAAAAAAAAAAAAAAGAGTATCAAAAGGAATATAACAAATGATTAAAATAGTGGGTAGCTGTTATATCAAGATCCCTATGTTAAATTAGAAGCAACACTCTCCTATCAGCATTTATAATAAATAGCAATAAAACAAACAAGTAGCTAACAATAAACAAATCTAAAAATGCCAACTATACACATATTAAAGCTTTATACAGATGTGCAAGGTTGCTTTGAGGTATTGCACTTGTGTTGTGTGGTGGTGGTGTTTATGTGTGAGAGGTGCTGATGTGCGTGTTCAGTACAGCTGATGGCTTGTGGAAAAAAACTGGAACAGTGCGTTAGTGTGTGTTAGTCCTGGTTTGGCTGGACCTGTAGCATCTCCCTGAGGGCAGTGGTCAAACAGGTGGATGTAGGATGGGTGGAGTCTCTGCAGTAGTTAAATGCATATCTTGAAGACCTTAGTGCCATATTATCCTAATAAAGCACTTTGCTCTCAGGCTGCAGGCCTACATGTGGTTCCTGGAGTTTCTAAAAGTAGAACAGGAGGCACAGCTTTCAGCTATGGAAGCTCATTTCCACCACTGAAGAAAAATTTCCATCCGTAGTCAAGATTTCAGGTTATCGCAGTAGTTCGACTTACTCCGTTCTCTGAGAAAATAACTTGATATTTGAAGTAAGTTAGTTGAAATTTGGAATTATGGATGGGGTTCAAAGTATTACGTTTTGGTTCAGTGGTGGAAACAAACTTTCATATTTAGCTATCAGGCCCCTCTCCAGTGGAATCAGCTCCCAGTTCAGATTTAGGAGGCAGACACCCTCTGTACCCTTTAAATGTGGCTAAAACCTTTGTTTTTGATAAAGCTTACAGTTTGGGCTGGATCAGGTTAGGGTGCCATAGGCTTAGTATGCTGTAGCCCTTGCTGTGATGCGCTGTCACAGCACTTCGTCACAGTGCAGACTCATTAAATTGTTTGGGTTCTCTCCCCAATACAGTAAGATCTTTAACTTATGGTATAAAGTGACCTAAAAATGTAACCGAATAGAAAACTTTGCAGCACACACATTAAAAATATGACAAAATCCATGCAACAGGCTTGTGGCAGTGTGACACCTAATATTAAACATGGCTCTTTTTCATTGGGGTAGTGCAGAAAGCTATGACAGGGAGAGAATTTCACCTTTTTAGAAAACACAATGATTACCACAGCAGGAAATGCTGGTTAAATCTCAAGTTTAACCAATGACATTAATAAGCACATTTAGCTGAACAGTTCTGGGGTTCTTTCATTTAGATCGTGGCTCAAAGAGTTGGCAGTTCGTCTTGTAACCGGCTCGAACCGTCTCGGTCATTGTGTCCTTGGGCAAGACACTTCACGTACCGCCTACTGGTGATGGCCAGAGGGGCCGATGGCGCGATATGGCAGCCTCGCTTCTGTCAGTCTGCCCCAGGGCAGCTGTGGCTACAACCGTAGCTTGCCTCCACCAGTGTGTGAATGTGAGAGTGAATGAATAGTGGAATTGTACAGCGCTTTGAGAGCCCCAAAAAGCGCTATATTAATACAATCCATTATTATTTATACCAGCCCACTGGGACGCTTAGCAGAAATGAGCCACTGCTATTGTACTCAACTCTTTTCTTCTTCAGAATTACAAAACTTGAATTGATGAATTCACTCGGACCCTGAAACCAAAGCACCAAGTCTGAACCATCACATATTCCATGAAATTAACAATTACATCACAGAAAAATTATAAATTCAAATTTAATTAAAAACAGTGAGAGAAAAAAAAAGAAAACTGTATTTTTTCTTTTTTATTGAGGTCTGTAATACATTACAATGTAATACATCCTCCTCCCAATAATTAGGGAGCGCCATTCTACTTATTCCACCCTTTTAAAAACATTTCCCTCTCCATTCAATTCAAGTTCAATTGTACATTTAAATAAACTTTAAAAATTATTGTTGTATTTATTCCATTTATTCAATTTTTTTGCCTCCTTTTGCTTTTTTAATTATAAATGTTCACTTCAATAGAAGGTGTTAGCTTGCAGAAACAACATTACAAAAAGAACAAAAAACAAATCCCTAATGCAACAGCTAAACTGTAAACAGTGTTGCAGGTGAGGAGCCATCGTCAGCTCTGAGGTAAATATCTGCTGCGTCCTGCTGCAGGCCTCTCGTTACCTCTTCTGATTCTGCTGGGCCTGCCTCAGTAAAGTGTCGAAGTCTAGTGCATGATACTTGCCTTTTGCAGGCGTTGGCTCGTACTCTCTACTCGAATCTGAAATGATTATAGAGACGGAATTGCATTAAAAATAAGAAGAGGAAAAGAAAAATCAAAGAGTTATGCAGAAACTTTTTTTGCATCTGGAAATTTAAAAGCATACCTAAGTCAGCATAGTTGCTCTGGCAGAACTGTCTCCTTCCACCGAAACAGAGATCAAACGGCAACTCGTCAGGCTTGCGCAGTTTACTTCCATTCTCAATCGCTGTGAAAGCATCCCTGGTGTTGTAATAAGTCACAAAGCCGTAGTTGTCCCTGTGGCAGATGACCAAAAGTTTAATTCCTCCTCATTTTTAGTTTGAGCAGAGAGGGCAGCAACAGGACTCGCACATAGCTTCAAGGTGTAACTTGCTTTTAAAAGAGCCACCTGGTGGTGATGCCAGGAAGCTCCAGTTATGAACAAGCCTGAATTTGCTTTAGCACTGTAGCTTGGCCTAAGAGGTCATAGACAAGACCAAGAAGGTTCAAAGACAGTGCAACTTTCTCATTTACAAAACCTTCCCAAAAGCTCTATGCTAAGAAAAAGTGGTGATGTAAGATGTTTGCATGTATAATACGAGGAGCTTACTTACCCATGGTCTCTAAAGTGCAGGGTACATTCTTCGATCTCGCCAAAATAGGAGAAGCGCTCTTTTAGTTCTTTTTGGGTCATCGTTCCCCGGATTTTACCAACGTAAACAACGCGGCGCTCCTCCTGGAAGAGAGTCCATCAGTTTTACATCATAACTACTGGAATCATTTCACTTAATTATACCTAGAATAATTAACTTACAATGGCTTTCTCCTTGCGTCTCTTCACCTCTTCCGCATTTGGCTTTGGAGAATGACCATAGCTGGGCCGATATGAGGGACTGAAGAAGAAAAGATGAAGCCTTCACTCGTCATTTCAAGGTTTCTCAAAGTATATGTAGGGCACAAATGAAACAGCTACCAAGAGAAGTCACAGTACTGTACCTGTACAATTGTCTGCCTTTACTCCACTGATCCCGTCTTTGAGGGGACCGAGATCGTGACCTGGAGCGACTCCAAGAGCCAGAACGAGAAGAAGAATAGGAATACCTTCTCCTTCTGGGAGGAGAGCTGGACACAGAAGGCTGATAGGAGGAACGGGACGAGGAGCTGGAACTGCTCTGGTGACGATACCTAAAAATCAAAAAGAAGGAAAAGGGAAATCATTACACATCAGTGAAGAGGTTTAATGCATCTGAATCAAAGACATGTTTTGGGACAAACCTTTTCTTTGTTGGAGAGTGTGATCTAGACCGAGATCTAGAAGAATCGGAGTCTGACTCTGAACAGCTGGACATTGGACTGGGAGAATGATGTGATCTTTTTCTAGACCGACCTCTGGGCCTCTCTTCAGGACTACATCTGGGGCTGGGTGTGCGAGAAGCAGCATGGCGACGGTATGACCTTCCCAACGGACCTCTCCTCGGGCTCCTTTCCTTCAATTCAGTCTCTGGCCGAGTAGGAGAAGCATCTGGAGTCTCCATAACAGAGCTTTCGTCCAACCTATTTGCCTTGGGCTCCAGGGGCTTCACTGGACAAACTTGTGTTTTGGTTAAAACCGCCTGATTTATGGTAGATTGGAGAGATGATGCCAGGGCAGCTGGGGTTGTTTGTGTAGTGGTTGGAGTATGTTGCCTGATGGGTTTAATGGTGATAAAGGACTGCTGTTTAATATTCCAACGCTTGCCTGGCTCTGCAGTGGGAGTGCCTTTGTTGGGAAGGCAATAGTCATGATCCATGCACGCCAAATCGGGGGCTACAGTGGCAGCAGCGAGCGTGGGTTTGCTACGTGGCCTGACCGAGGGCAGAGGCCGAGCTTCTATCTGGATAACTTTGGAGGGGCTCGACTTGGAGGCTTCGGAGGCTTTGCTCTTCCCAAGCAGTGCCACAGCTGCCAGGGGTTTCCACATTTGATGAGGAGGAGTGGCTGGAGGTGTCAGAGCTGAAGCAGAGGGAAATATCATGAGTACTTCAGACTTCTGTATACACTGACATAAATGAAGCATTTGAGCAGACAAAACAACTCTAAATTAATCAAGTCAAAATGCTCATTTACCTGCAGTGCTTGAGATGTCACTAGCTTTTACACGTTCCACAACAGACTTCTCTGGAACCAGTTCGACACTGCTGAGCAAGCACAGGCGTATGTTAGTATATCAGCGGTAAACAGCGTAGGTCAAACCTCGGTGGTCTTCAGCCCAGCCCGAGATGGCCCTTAGTGCTGCCAGGCACTGGCAGGATTTGCGGTAGGTCTTGGCATGAGGTGGGCTTGGACCACCTCCTCACATACACAATCTGTCACACAAATCAAACGGTTTTCACTCTCACAGACAGTTACTCACTCACACAGAGCAGCGTCAGGGCTGTAGGGTAACTCACCTCGAGTTTCCTACAGCTGCTGCTCTACCAGAGACCTCCGACACACATTGCTCCTCTTTGGCTGAAGGGGGAAGGAATAGAAAAGTTAGTGCATCGGTGCACAAAGTGAGGTTAAAAACTCTCAGTGGAAATGTTTTTAGTACAGGGCTCATTTTCCATAGGACTGGAAATAGTCAGCAGCTACATAAAGCGCATTTAAAAAAAACCAAACCCAAACACTTGACATAAGTCAGGCCTTGTACATCCGCCCAAACAAAGACAGAAGGGCTCGAGTTAAATGGATTTGCAGACGGGGCAGAATTCCAGTAGCTGAGCAGACAAGTGCACAGAGCAGCTTCTCTGGCCCCTGCAGCATCCATCTCTCTTAAAGGGGAATGTTACAGTTAAAAACAGAGATGCCCCACTATCTTTGAATTTAAACAAACGGCTTGATTAGAAACACAAGCTTGGAATTCATCCATTTACCATAGTAACAGACCAACTACAAGGCGGTTCTTGTATGTGATTTGCAAACAAAAGGAAAGTTCATGCATGAACCCCCGTTAAGCACACATCTCCTGAAGTCAATCACAACTCCTACCCACTAATCCACTACTGCTAACCAAAGATGGGGCTGCAAGCTTGCATACTACATTGCACCATTACAAAACCAGGAAAACTGATCCTCTGACCACATTTAGCTTGGTACTTCACTATGTGACACACGGAGCTACTGGCCTAAACACCCATCTAATTATAATTCAAGGAAGTAAAATAAATCCGAGTGTGCAAAACGTTCAAACGAAACCTCTGAGATGGAGTGGATACAGAGAAAACTGAAGGATTATTAATTACCTTGGGTTTCCTCAAACTGCTCCAGTAAACTGGTCAGATCAGCAGCTTCAATACCTGTAAATAAAGGTCATTATGTGATTATAACAGAATGATGCTCATTTAAAGGCAAACTGCAGAGCTTTTTATTTTCTCTCATAGATATACTGCCAGCAATAGTGGATGTTCAAACAGTTTAATAACGTCAACATGTAAACCCAAATGATCAGGCTTCAGACACTTTGTTCTACTCGTGGCTCTGAATGAATTCACTGATAGTGGACATCGTTAATATGGCCATCTCCACCTGGGGTGTGAGCACAGAAGCTCCACCCACCTGCTGTTCAAAGCTGTTGTTTACAAGAAGCAGCCAATCAGAAGAAAGCTGGCTTAAAGGGAGAGTGACCTTGACGATTCAGGAGTTAAAACTGCTCATTTTAAAAATCAGAGTGTGAAAGATTGAACTGAAGCCTACTTTAAGCATTATTTAGAGCTGTAGTTAAGCAGAGGCCAAAAACATGGCACTTTAAATGGGCAAAAAAGCCCCCCTTAAACTATTACATGTACTATAATGCAGTACACAAAAGCTCTTTTCACAGTAACACTCAAACTGAGCAGAACTACAGCGGTACAGAGAATAGACTGGACACAGGACAAAGGCTCAGCTGAAAACGTGACAGCCAGGAAACAGATTATTGTACGTAACAGTCCTGAAGAGCACAAATGGGTCGATTTTTAAAGTGACACTGTGCATTTTCCTGCTTTCTAACAGTAGACAATTTATAATTTCTAATATTGGATTCCTGCACATCAGCCTACCACTGGAGCAGATTAAGCACAGTGAGTTCAAGTCAGCAAAGCTGTGGCACTGACAACAGTTTATAGCGCATCAGTGAATTACTCTTGTCAAAGAAAGATAATACTTAAAAACAAAAAAGGAAAGAAGAGAAGGTATGAGAATGTTTCTACTCCTAAAAACAAACTAAAGCTTTTAAAACACAAGTTTAACTTTAAGCTCACCTATTTCACTTGTGAATGCTTCAATCAGCTCCTGTGTGGAACTCTTTGCTCTTTGGGCTTCCACTGGTGTTGTGGGTGTTTCTTTAGTTTCAGCAACAACTGGTTTTGTTTTTAGACTCTGGGAGTTCGAGACACTAGCAGCTGGAGTGGAACACAGCTGGGTACCATCAGCTGTGGATTTGGAGGACTTGCTATCAGATGCAATGGTGATATTTAAGGAAGTGAGAGCAGTGACCTCAGGCACTTTCTGGGAAACCACAGTGGTCTTCTGGGGGACACTGGGAAGAGATCCAGTAGCAGCAGTGGGTTTTATTTCATCTGTAGTGGTTTTAAGAGTGGTCTTGGTGCGCTCTTCACACTTAGATACAGGCTGAGAGATGGGGACTCCATCTACTCCATCCATCCCTCCTGAAAGAGCAGGAGAACATTTCCCATCTACTGAAGATGCGAGCTGAGTGTTAGGAGCCCCAAAGTTTTTAGGCACATTAGGTGCTGCAGGCTGAGTAGTGATGTTTTGGGGCATGGCTGAATCTTTAACTACATTAGGGACCAGAACAGGATTTTTCTGAGGCAGACTGGGCGGTTCGGGTGTTTGTTGGGGTTTAGGAACTGAAGTAGCAGCTGAAACCTTGCTGGAAGGGGCAACCATGTAGGCAGGTGGAGCCAGCAGTGCCTCGGGGGTCGGTGGTGCACATGGTCCTCTTGGTTGCCACGCAGGTTTGACCTCCTCCACCTCCTTTTTTGCCGGCTGGGTGATGGGACGTCGAGGATCCTTGGGGCTTGGGTCAGGCAGGCAGGGAATAGGGGGTAGCTCTTTGGGAAGCTCTGGGAGGCTAGGCCACTTGGTGCTATTGTTGCGTTGCTTTTCCACTGGAGCAGGCCTTTTCTGTTGTCTAAGCCGTCTATACTCCTCTAAACTAAGTGCTTTGGGTTTGGGCTCTGGGACTGCCGGAGCCACGACCTCACTTGCACTCGGCATCACCTCGCGAGTCACAGAGATGGGAGCAGTTGTCGGGATCTCTGAAGACACCGGAGAGAGGGAAACAGGGGGAGCTGCTAATACATTCCCGAGCTCAGTGGGGGCTTGGACTGGCTGTTGTGAAGCTTCACTGGGATCCTGAGAACTCGTTGTTGTGGGTGAATAGCAGTCTTCACTCTTCTCAGGTTTAGCACTTAACGGCACTGTGTCCTGTCTAGAGGACAGAGATTTAATTTTAGTTGGTTGCACAGTCACTTCACTGATTACTGCTGTAGTGGAGGT